TGTAGCGTCGCGCACCAACAATAAATAAATCAAAACAAGAATTGCGCCGCGGTTAGCGGACGCTAGATTTCCATCGACCGTTATAATGTTAATAATAATAAAATCTACCGTCCATACCGTATAATAAATCAATCTCTCGAGTATCAAACAACAACAACAACAACATAAAATCAACATCATGGTTTATACAACATTATAATAACGGATTACTAATATCGGGAGCCAAGTCGGTGGTTGCACCGAGCACTCACAACAAAACGAGAAGTTAGTATGCTTGATGTTGTAGCGCATTAATGATCAAGTTAAAAAAAGCTTGAACTAAAAACTACTTAACACATGTATAAGATCCGGGAAATCGCTTGTTATTCAAATCAATTCAAATTTATTCGATATGCTTTCCTATTCGCAAAGTAATCAATTTTTGTGGAATTAAAAGACCAAATCACAAATCTGCGGACTTATCACTATTATATCAAGCCTCAAGGTTGTGCAAAATTTAAAACCCAAAGGCCAGGCCCCCGCCCAGAGCCTAACAATGTTTGACATGACTTTAAAATTTAACACTAAACATCAAACCTACGTAAAACGGGAATGAATATATATTAAAATCCATTTCAGATTAAAACAACAGAATAAATCATTGTAATTACATACGCTGACCATAACTTGTAACTGTTATGAAAACTTCCAGTCAGCCTTGGCGCCGCGCATTCGAAAGTGTAATTCAATTGTCGCAAACGTATGCGGAGGGTAACCGTGGCGACGACACCTTTACTGCTCCGCGAGCAGAGAAGATACATTTAAATGGTTATGCGGAGAGTTATGCATGTTTTCCTTTGTGACACGAAACGAAAAAGCTACCTACCCACTATACCCATTCTCAAATCCTACCACTTCTAACCATCTTATGATTTTTTAAGAAAAATAAGTCGATGGAAAAAATCACGGAAAATAACTTTGCGAAGGAGGAAACTTCAGGTGTAATTAACTCATGACCGGTTTCGTGCGCAGCAATATAGACGTCTCTTATATATACACATAATTTATATATTTCGAAGGAGTAGACTTTTTCGACATCGTAGTGCCGTTAGGCCACCTCATATATCCAAACCTGATTACTTATTCCCTATGGCCTTTTTTCCTTCGGCAATGGTACGGAAAAAATTAGTTAGAGTGATCAGTTACTTCCCATACTCATAGTTAGAGTGAGTTACTTCCCATAGTAACTGTAATTACTTCCCATAGTAACCAGTGTCTCTAACGTGCCCAGCTCGAAAGAGTCATCCGGACCATTCGGTAATTAGAGTACCCTACAGGGTAAGGGAACATGGTATAGAGCACAACAAGGCTCACTAGGACAGAGCTATTTGTTACTGAAGGAACCTTGGACAAAATCTAAAGAGGAACTGCGAACCCAAATGCGGGAGAGGGATATATGGAGAGGGAAATCTAAAGAGGAACTGCGAACCCTGATGCGGGATAGGGATATATGGAGAGGGAAATCTAAAGAGGAACTGCGAACCCTGATGCGGGATAGGGATATATGGAGAGGGAAATCTAAAGAGGAACTGCGAACCCTGATGAGGGATAGGGATAGGGATATATGGATCAGAGGGAAATATGTCGTAGATCGGACGAAGTTCCGACCTAGTAGTAGGCAATTTATGATTTTCTTGTGAAAGCAAATAACAGTTAATTTATTTTAAGGATCATAATATGAGACATATTAGTAGTAGTAGCAGTAGTATAATATGAGCAATTGTAACCTGTACTTGCTGTAAAAAGATGCAACCTAGTACACAAGAAGTGGGCCCAATGTAAGGTTTCTGAGAGTGTGCGAGTAGTTTTGCTTTGTAGTTGGAGTATATAATCTAAATGTGATGAAATATCTCTCTGATAGTGGTCACGTGACAGTGAGAAAGTCACGTGACTGGTGTAGTAATGAAGTAGAGGAACAATAAGCGACAAACAGTACAGTCATTAAAAGGTCTTATAAAGGTGTTAAGGTGTTTTAGTAGAGGAACAATAAGCCACAAACAGTACAGTTATTAAAAGGTCTTATAAAGGTGTTGTTAAGGTGTTGTTAAGGTGTTGTTAAGGTGTTGTTAGGGTGTTGTTAAGGTGTTGTTAAGGTGTTGTTAAGATGTTTATAATATTATTAAGGAATTGTAGTAAACTTAAAACGAATTTTGAAAATTCAAATTTCACTGGTCGTATCGTTCATGTTGAACCAGTCGAAATGCACCAGTAGAAATGCACCAGTCGAAATGTTAGAAGGTTGTCAGAAGGTTGTCGGTTGTTTAAAGATTTGTATGAGATTAACAGGGATCTGTGTGCTGATTGGCTGGGATCTCTGCGCTGATTGGCTGGTAGCTAACAGAACTAAACAGTTTCTGACATTTTAAATAGCAAACCCTCTCTTATATACACCTGTCCGATTAAAACCAGTCAAATAGACAGACAGCGGTACGGGTGGGATAGCTCTGCAAAAATACAGCTCTCTGATTGGTTAGTTAGTATCACGTGACTAGAATACAGCTCTCTGATTGGTTAGTTTGTATCACGTGACTAGAATACAGCTCTCTGATTGGTTAGTTTGTATCACGTGACTAGAATACAGCTCTTTGACTGGTTAGTTTGCATCACATGACTAGAATACAGCTCTCTGATTGGTTAGTTTGTATCGCGTGACTAGAATACAGCTCTTTGATTGGTTAGTTAGTACCAGGCAACTACAAATAACTTGGTAAATTGCCAAGAATGCTGGAAAGTGGTTGTAACTAGTGTAGTGTAAAAAAGTGTAGCGTAAAATAGCCTTAAAAAGTGTAAAAAAGTGACATTTTTCCCCACCAAAGGTATGTTTTACCTTTGGAAATGTACTTTGTGAAGACTGATTGGAAAATAATAGAAAAAAATAGATTTTCAAAAAATAATTTGGTTAAGTGTAACATATATAATAATTAAAAGTGTAAAAAAGTGTATCTCTTTTACTACCCTTTTTATTACACACCGCACAAAAAAAGGCAAAAGTGTAGTATAAAATAGTGTAAAAAAGTGTAGCAGTGATAACACTTGGCAGTAGTTAACACTTCCACACTAGCATCCTAACACTAATAACAGTGCAGATAACAAGGCTCGAGACAATTGGATTGGCTTCAAATCTTCACAAGCAATGGGTTGACCATTACTAACGGAGTCTGTTTACTGTGGTTAATAATATATATATATAACGTATTTAACGTATAATACCTAGTACTGCTCATAGTCAGGATATGAAACACATCTCAACTGTATTACTCATGGATATACTGGAAAGATCATGCGTTAATATTAGATACAGATTGGATTTCAATCATGAAAACATAAGGACTGTGTTCAACTTCAGAATGGCCCAGCTGAGTTGAAGCAATGTTAATCTAAACACAGGAACAAATGAAGTAGCTGCTTTAGTGACCCAAGTAGCTGGCTTCACCAAAGGTTTAAATTTTGTGACCCAAGGGTTTCCTTAATGAAGCCGGCTACTTCCCACGATAGACAAATTAAAAACGAAATATTCCCACAAACTACTGGTTGAATGACATGCGAAAGGTTTCTATCATTATATTAATGAGTGCAAGACATACAGCGGGTTAGCAAGCTGAACAGTGCAGCGGGTTAGCAAGCTGAACAGTGCAGCGGGTTAGCAAGCTGAACAGTGCAGCGGGTTAGCAAGCTGAACAGTGCAGCGGGTTAGCAAGCTGAACAGTGCAGCGGGTTGGCAAGCTGAACAGTGCAGCGGGTTAGCAAGCTGAACAGTGCAGCGGGTTAGCAAGCTGAACAGTGCAGCGGTTTAGCAAGCTGAACAGTGCAGCGGGTTAGCAAGCTGAACAGCGCAGCGGGTTAGCAAGCTGAACAGCGCAGCGGGTTAGCAAGCTGAACAGTGCAGCGGGTTAGCAACCTGAACAGTGCAGCGGGTTAGCAAGCTGAACAGTGCAGCGGGTTAGCAAGCTGAACAGTGAAGCGGGTTAGCAAGCTGAACAGTGCAGCGGGTTAGCAAGCTGAACAGTGCAGCGGGTTAGCAAGCTGAACAGTGCAGCGGGTTAGCAAGCTGAACAGTGCAGCGGGTTAGCGAGCTGAACAGTGCAGCGGGTTAGCAAGCTGAACAGTGCAGCGGGTTAGCAAGCTGAACAGTGCAGCGGGTTATCAAGCTGAACAGTGCAGCGGGTAAGCAAGCTGAACAGTGCAGCGGGTTAGCAAGCTGAACAGTGCAGCGGGTTAGCAAGCTGAACAGTGGAGCGGGTTAGCAAGCTGAACAGTGGAGCGGGTTAGCAAGCTGAACAGTGGAGCGGGTTAGCAAGCTGAACAGTGCAGCGGGTTAGCAAGCTGAACAGCGCAGCAGGTTAGTAAGTTACAGCACCACCAGGGTACCTACTTACCAAGGTGACGTTATGATAAACTGCAGTACCTACTTACCAGACGAGCTACAGTCAGCCCCGCTTTTAAATTAATGATATAAGTTACAAAACTTTAATGTGAACCACGCCTTCTGTGTGCAAGCACTTAGAAGAATCAAAGTAACTATAGTTATTACTATAGTTACTATAGTATATATTAAATAAATATTGTGTTTGATTTACCGTTTCTCCGCGGTAGAAGGAAATGTTTTAATTTCAACTAAAATTCCTGTTTATCTGTTATTGCGATCCTGCATTTCATTATTTCATAATAACTCTATTATATATTATACTAGTAGTGTTACTACAATATTATATAGCTTTACTAGCTCAGTATATACTACAAGTTTATACTACCGGCCTAATATTAAAAAGATAGATTTACTACCTCAGTTTAATCATTTCCACAACTGCGAAATGCTGTCCAATTCAAATACAACAGACTATTCTGTAAAATCATTACTAAAATTATAAGAAAAATTATAACTATGACTAACATTATTACTAAGATGATTACTAAAATTATTACATATTATTATTATTTTATAATAATACAGATAATTTCAGAGTTGCCACGTGATTGTACACTGTGAGTATAAGGGTAACGTTACCATGGTAACAATAAAGCCCTCTCTCGTCCTCTCTGTCAAATTACCTCAACTTTATATCAAGCTTGGAGAGAAAGTGGTTTTAGGTTAGTCAGATAAACATTATACATTATACATTATACATTATACATTATACATTATACATTATATATTATACAATATACAATATACATTATACATTATACATTATACATTATACATTATACATTATACAATATACATTATATATTATACATTATGCATTATACATTATACATTATACATTATATATTATACAATATACATTATACAATATACATTATACATTACACATTATACATTATATATTATACATTATACATTATACATTATACATTATACATTATACAATATATATTATACATTATACATTATACATTATACATTATACATTATATATTATACAATATACATTATACATTATACATTATACATTATATATTATACAATATACATTATACAATATACATTATACATTATACATTATACATTATACATTATACATTATACATTATACATTATATATTATACATTATACAATATATATTATACATTATATATTATACAATATACATTATACATTATACATTATACATTATACAATATATATTATACATTATACATTATACATTATACAATATACATTATACATTATACAATATACATTATACATTATACATTATACAATATACATTATACATTATACAATATACATTATACATTATATATTATACATTATGCATTATACATTATACATTATATATTATACAATATACATTATACAATATACATTATACATTATACATTATACAATATACATTATACATTATACAATATACATTATACATTATACATTATACAATATACATTATACATTATACATTATACAATATACATTATACAATATACATTAGTCAATGAAACACTCACCTGATCTCATCATACAGATACCTTTACAATCATTAACTAACCCTCCTCCTCAGTTGAAGAGGAGTACAGTACAGACCTATACTGGTGGGGTAGTGAAATGGAGCTGGAAATGGCTTACAAGCAATCTACTAACTGGTCTTCTCCCTTAAACCTTACGTTAGTTATAGTTTATTTAGTTATATTTAAGTTAGTTATATTTAAGTTAGTTATATTTAAGTTAGTTATATTTAAGTTAGTTATAGTTTAGTTAGTTATAGTTTATCTAGTTATATTTAAGTTAGTTATATTTAAGTTAGTTATATTTAAGTTAGTTATAGTTTAGTTAGTTATAGTCTAGTTAGTTATATTTAAGTTAGTTATAGTTAAGTTAGTTATATTTAAGTTAGTTATAGTTTAGTTAGTTATATTTAAGTTGGTTATATTTAAGTTAGTTATATTTAAGTTAGTTATAGTTTAGTTAGTTATATTTAAGTTAGTTATAGTTTAGTTATTTATAGTTTAGTTAGTTATAGTTTAGTTAGTTATATTTAAGTTAGTTATAGTTTAACTGGTTATAGTTTAGTTAGTTGCAGTTTAGTTCGTTACAGTTTATTTAGTTACAGTTGTTAATAACAGTTTACAGCTCTTTTCACGTAATATACGGAATACTGGGACCAGACGGTGTTTCATGTTGCATAGAGTACCCATCCCGCCTCAATTGCATTATCTCCAAATGAAAACAAAATTTCAAATATAACTTGCAGTTAGATAATAATTCCAACTTAGTAAAATAGTAAAGTTTGAAGAGTAGAATAGTGACTAGTGTAATATAGAAATCAAAACATCAAATCAAATCAAAAGCAAGATAATATGCGTTAACTGTTAAGTGTTAATGTGTAGTAGTTACCAGGCAATTTTTCCATTCGCACGCTTTTGTAAAAAAGCAATAGTGAAAGGTTACGAATGGTCGTTTTTGCAGAAAAACGTGGATTTTGGAGAACGAGGTCGGTGGGTTCAAATATGTTGTCATTCCGTTCGTTACTATGTCAACTTGCCGCGCGCACCGCGCGACGATTGCTTGCGGAGATGTGATGTATATAGCTAGTCTTGGTCAATGAATGCGCGGCGCAAGTGTATTTTAATGTATACTATGTAATGTATAGTATTAGGTAATAAGCCCAATTTGTACGTGGCACGCGTAGTGTACTAAATACTGATGTGTATGAAAGTATAAAACATGAGTATAGTTTACTTTTGCTTACAATTTCTTGAATTACAGATACAAGTTAAGTTCTACGGCAATTGAATTGAATTTCAAGTGTTTCCCGTATTTAAAGCATAATCTATCAATATTATTATTATGAAGCGAGCTGATTAGAGCTTATACTTATAGTTATAGTGAATCAAAATCTAGCGTCCACCAAAACGAAACAACGGGCGCAATGCTTGTTAATTCGATTGATATTATTTTGTGAAATCATGTCTAATTTGTAAAAGTGAAAGTGAAACTGTTACAGGAGTTTATAACTAATAGTGAAAGTGAAACTGTTACAGGAGTTTAGCCCCTAGGAAAGGGGTGAACGTGATGTCAGATAAACCTTGCAATCCAGTACCTGTAGTTGTGTGTAGTGTGGACCACACTGCTACTACCTACGTTACAGTCACTTATAATACCAGTCCACAGGTTAGTTAGTTAGTTAGTTAGTTAGTTAGTTAGTTAGTTACTAGTTAGTTAGTTAGTTAGTTAGTTAGTTAGTTTGTTTTTTGTTTGTTTTTTGTTTGTTTGTTTGTTTGTTTGTTTGTTTGTTTGTTTGTTTGTTTGTTTGTTTGTTTGTTTGTTTGTTTGTTTGTTTGTTTGTTTGTTTGTTTGTTTGTTTGTTTGTTTGTTTGTTTGTTTGTTTGTTTGTTTGTTAGTTTGTTTGTTTGTTTGTTTGTTTGTTTGTTTGTTTGTTTGTTTGTTTGTTTGTTTGTTCGTTCGTTCGTTCGTTCGTTCGTTCGTTCGTTCGTTCGTTCGTTCGTTCGTTTGTTTGTTTGTTTGTTTGTTTGTTTGTTCGTTCGTTCGTTCGTTCGTTCGTTCGTTCGTTCGTTTGTTTGTTTGTTTGTTTGTTCGTTTGTTTGTTTGTTTGTTTGTTTGTTTGTTTGTTTGTTTGTTTGTTTGTTTGTTTGTTTGTTTGTTTGTTAACCTTATACACCCCTGCAGATCTACTTGACGAATAACAGTGAGTTTGAGTTTCTAGTGAGTGAGAGACTGCCCCCCACCCTAACTCCCACCAGTGTCGTAGTGGACGGTCATAAGACTCTTCTCCTCAAACCTTTCAGATCCTGCTACTTCGACCCTTACTCTACAACTGATAAACTATTTATCCAGGTATAATTAGCTTATTAATTAGCTTATTAATTAGCTTATTAATTAGTTTATTAATTAGCTTATTAATAATCTTATTAATTAGCTTATTAATTAGCTTATTAATTAGCTTATTAATTAGTTTATTAATTAGCTTATTAATAATCTTATTAATTAGCTTATTAATTAGCTTATTAATTAACTAATTAATTAACTAATTAACCATTAACTGTTATTATCACAATTTGAGCCAAATGTGACTAGAAAGCAGAATTTATATCGCATGCCTGCGTGAAGAGCGCTGCTGGAAGTAGCTCTCACAGAGCGCTGCTGGAAGTAGCTCTCACAGAGCGCTGCTGGAAGTAGCTCTCACAGAGCGCTGCTGGAAGTAGCTCTCACAGAGCGCTGCTGGAAGTAGCTCTCACAGAGCGCTGCTGGAAGTAGCTCTCACAGAGCGCTGCTGGAAGTAGCTCTCACAGAGGGCTGCTGGAAGTAGCTCTCACAGAGTGCTGCTGGAAGTAGCTCTCACAGAGCACTGCTGGAAGTAGCTCTCACAGAGCGCTGCTGGAAGTAGCTCTCACAGAGGGCTGCTGGAAGTAGCTCTCACAGAGCGCTGCTGGAAGTAGCTCTCACAGAGGGCTGCTGGAAGTAGCTCTCACAGAGCGCTGCTGGAAGTAGCTCTCACAGAGCGCTGCTGGAAGTAGCTCTCACAGAGCGCTGCTGGAAGTAGCTCTCACAGAGCGCTGCTGGAAGTAGCTCTCACAGAGCGCTGCTGGAAGTAGCTCCCACAGAGCGCTGCTGGAAGTAGCTCTCACAGAGCGCTGCTGGAAGTAGCTCTCACAGAGCGCTGCTGGAAGTAGCTCTCACAGAGCACTGCTGGAAGTAGCTCTCACAGAGCACTGCTGGAAGTAGCTCTCACAGAGCGCTGCTGGAAGTAGCTCTCACAGAGCGCTGCTGGAAGTAGCTCTCACAGAGCGCTGCTGGAAGTAGCTCTCACAGAGCGCTGCTGGAAGTAGCTCTCACAGAGCGCTGCTGGAAGTAGCTCTCACAGAGCGCTGCTGGAAGTAGCTCTCACAGAGCGCTGCTGGAAGTAGCTCTCACAGAGCGCTGCTGGAAGTAGCTCTCACAGAGCGCTGCTGGAAGTAGCTCTCACAGAGCGCTGCTGGAAGTAGCTCTCACAGAGCGCTGCTGGAAGTAGCTCTCACAGAGCGCTGCTGGAAGTAGCTCTCACAGAGCGCTGCTGGAAGTAGCTCTCACAGAGCGCTGCTGGAAGTAGCTCTCACAGAGCGCTGCTGGAAGTAGCTCTCACAGAGCGCTGCTGGGAGTAGCTCTCACAGAGCGCTGCTGGAAGTAGCTCCCACAGAGCGCTGCTGGAAGTAGCTCTCACAGAGCGCTGCTGGAAGTAGCTCTCACAGAGCGCTGCTGGAAGTAGCTCTCACAGAGCGCTGCTGGAAGTAGCTCTCACAGAGCGCTGCTGGAAGTAGCTCTCACAGAGCGCTGCTGGAAGTAGCTCTCACAGAGCGCTGCTGGAAGTAGCTCTCACAGAGCGCTGCTGGAAGTAGCTCCCACAGAGCGCTGCTGGAAGTAGCTCTCACAGAGCGCTGCTGGAAGTAGCTCTCACAGAGCGCTGCTGGAAGTAGCTCTCACAGAGCGCTGCTGGAAGTAGCTCTCACAGAGCGCTGCTGGAAGTAGCTCTCACAGAGCGCTGCTGGGAGTAGCTCTCACAGAGCGCTGCTGGAAGTAGCTCTCACAGAGCGCTGCTGGAAGTAGCTCTCACAGAGCGCTGCTGGAAGTAGCTCTCACAGAGCGCTGCTGGAAGTAGCTCTCACAGAGCGCTGCTGGAAGTAGCTCTCACAGAGCGCTGCTGGAAGTAGCTCTCACAGAGCGCTGCTGGAAGTAGCTCTCACAGAGCGCTGCTGGAAGTAGCTCTCACAGAGCGCTGCTGGAAGTAGCTCTCACAGAGCGCTGCTGGAAGTAGCTCTCACAGAGCGCTGCTGGAAGTAGCTCTCACAGAGCGCTGCTGGAAGTAGCTCTCACAGAGCGCTGCTGGAAGTAGCTCTCACAGAGCGCTGCTGGAAGTAGCTCTCACAGAGCGCTGCTGGAAGTAGCTCTCACAGAGCGCTGCTGGAAGTAGCTCTCACAGAGCGCTGCTGGAAGTAGCTCTCACAGAGCGCTGCTGGAAGTAGCTCTCACAGAGCGCTGCTGGAAGTAGCTCTCACAGAGCGCTGCTGGAAGTAGCTCTCACAGAGCGCTGCTGGAAGTAGCTCTCACAGAGCGCTGCTGGAAGTAGCTCTCACAGAGCGCTGCTGGAAGTAGCTCTCACAGAGCGCTGCTGGAAGTAGCTCTCACAGAGCGCTGCTGGAAGTAGCTCTCACAGAGCGCTGCTGGAAGTAGCTCTCACAGAGCGCTGCTGGAAGTAGCTCTCACAGAGCGCTGCTGGAAGTAGCTCTCACAGAGCGCTGCTGGAAGTAGCTCTCACAGAGCGCTGCTGGAAGTAGCTCTCACAGAGCGCTGCTGGAAGTAGCTCTCACAGAGCGCTGCTGGAAGTAGCTCTCACAGAGCGCTGCTGGAAGTAGCTCTCACAGAGCGCTGCTGGAAGTAGCTCTCACAGAGCGCTGCTGGAAGTAGCTCTCACAGAGCGCTGCTGGAAGTAGCTCTCACAGAGCGCTGCTGGAAGTAGCTCTCACAGAGCGCTGCTGGAAGTAGCTCTCACAGAGCGCTGCTGGAAGTAGCTCTCACAGAGCGCTGCTGGAAGTAGCTCTCACAGAGCGCTGCTGGAAGTAGCTCTCACAGAGCGCTGCTGGAAGTAGCTCTCACAGAGCGCTGCTGGAAGTAGCTCTCACAGAGCGCTGCTGGAAGTAGCTCTCACAGAGCGCTGCTGGAAGTAGCTCTCACAGAGCGCTGCTGGAAGTAGCTCTCACAGAGCGCTGCTGGAAGTAGCTCTCACAGAGCGCTGCTGGAAGTAGCTCTCACAGAGCGCTGCTGGAAGTAGCTCTCACAGAGCGCTGCTGGAAGTAGCTCTCACAGAGCGCTGCTGGAAGTAGCTCTCACAGAGCGCTGCTGGAAGTAGCTCTCACAGAGCGCTGCTGGAAGTAGCTCTCACAGAGCGCTGCTGGAAGTAGCTCTCACAGAGCGCTGCTGGAAGTAGCTCTCACAGAGCGCTGCTGGAAGTAGCTCTCACAGAGCGCTGCTGGAAGTAGCTCTCACAGAGCGCTGCTGGAAGTAGCTCTCACAGAGCGCTGCTGGAAGTAGCTCTCACAGAGCGCTGCTGGAAGTAGCTCTCACAGAGCGCTGCTGGAAGTAGCTCTCACAGAGCGCTGCTGGAAGTAGCTCTCACAGAGCGCTGCTGGAAGTAGCTCTCACAGAGCGCTGCTGGAAGTAGCTCTCACAGAGCGCTGCTGGAAGTAGCTCTCACAGAGCGCTGCTGGAAGTAGCTCTCACAGAGCGCTGCTGGAAGTAGCTCTCACAGAGCGCTGCTGGAAGTAGCTCTCACAGAGCGCTGCTGGAAGTAGCTCTCACAGAGCGCTGCTGGAAGTAGCTCTCACAGAGCGCTGCTGGAAGTAGCTCTCACAGAGCGCTGCTGGAAGTAGCTCTCACAGAGCGCTGCTGGAGTAGCTCTCACAGAGCGCTGCTGGAAGTAGCTCTCACAGAGCGCTGCTGGAAGTAGCTCTCACAGAGCGCTGCTGGAAGTAGCTCTCACAGAGCGCTGCTGGAAGTAGCTCTCACAGAGCGCTGCTGGAAGTAGCTCTCACAGAGCGCTGCTGGAAGTAGCTCTCACAGAGCGCTGCTGGAAGTAGCTCTCACAGAGCGCTGCTGGAAGTAGCTCTCACAGAGCGCTGCTGGAAGTAGCTCTCACAGAGCGCTGCTGGGAGTAGCTCTCACAGAGCGCTGCTGGAAGTAGCTCTCACAGAGCGCTGCTGGAAGTAGCTCTCACAGAGCGCTGCTGGAAGTAGCTCTCACAGAGCGCTGCTGGAAGTAGCTCTCACAGAGCGCTGCTGGAAGTAGCTCTCACAGAGCGCTGCTGGAAGTAGCTCTCTCAGAGGGCTGCTGGAAGTAGCTCTCACAGAGCGCTGCTGGAAGTAGCTCTCACAGAGCACTGCTGGAAGTAGCTCTCACAGAGCGCTGCTGGGAGTAGCTCTCACAGAGCGCTGCTGGGAGTAGCTCTCACAGAGCGCTGCTGGAAGTAGCTCTCACAGAGGGCATGAGATATCAGTCAGTTGGTCAGAGAGCTCCATAGAAATGAGGAGCTTATACTATTATAGTATTATACTAATCTAATGTTATGTAATGTATACTACTCTTACCAGAACTTTTTACCATAAACTTTAGCGCGACTTTCTGCAAAAGCCGTAATGGACATACAACTGAAACTTTTTTGACTGGGTCAAATGCTTTAATGGCCTCCAAATCAGCATGAAAAAAATAAAAAATAGGCCAAGAAATAGGAGTTTTATAGTCCAAAATTTGGACCCCAAAGTGGTGTCAAAAACGCGAATTAAATAGGTAATGATTATTTTAGTCTCTTGAGTCTTGAAACCATTTTATGGTTATACGGGTTCCTGCTAGTTACATTAAAGTGACAAAACATTTAGTGTCAAATGTGCCTGCAGGATGAGTAAGGATACTGGATAGCAGTAGGAAAATTCATTCGAGGATTTTGCTCGTACAAAAGGCCTAGAAGCAATTAGGCAATAGAGGTTATTTTGAAACACAGTTTGAAGAACGATTAAAATAATGCGATTTTAAATGCCAGCAGCTTTTGCGAATAAATTGCTGACAAGCTTGCGACCTTTAACCTTTAAGTGCTACACCACTACATTAACCCAGTTGGCAGGTTAGGTAATTTTAGAGGATACGCCGGCAAAATCTCTATAAAAGTGTGTTTCTAGAGCAAAACCTCAGTTAAGTTTTTCAAAATTGTCCCACATTCAAACGACGATTTTGCCCCCCTCCCCCCCCCCCCCCCCCCCCCCTCTAATACTGCCCCCTCGCACAGCGGGGTCAGCGGGGCCCTTCGTTACGCCACTGCTTTAACCCAGTGTTACGCCACTGCTTTAACCCAGTGTTACGCCACTGCACTTTAACACAGTGTTACGCCACTGCTTTAACACAGTGTTACGCCACTGCTTTAACCCAGTGTTACGCCACTGCTTTAACCCAGTGTTACGCCACTGCTTTAACCCAGTGTTACGCCACTGCTTTAACCCAGTGTTACGCCCCTGCTTTAACCCAGTGTTACGCCACTGCTTTAACCCAGTGTTACGCCACTGCTTTAACCCAGTGTTACGCCACTGCTTTAACCCAGTGTTACGCCACTGCTTTAACCCAGTGTTACGCCACTGCTTTAACCCAGTGTTACGCCACTGCTCTAACCCAGTGTTACACCACTGCTTTAACCCATTGTTACACCACTGCTTTAACCCAGTGTTACGCCCCTGCTTTAAAATGTCTCTATAATACTATAATATAACTTCAGGACATCAACGAAAACGACTTCATCCCTCAACTCTCATTCGCGTTCTACAGGCGTTCCCAGGAGGCCCTGATAAACTCACATAAAATAGAGCTGGACCCTCGGTCACGTGACACTTCACACACTACACACTCTACACGTGACACTACACACACTACACGTGACCAATCAGATGATTTAGAAGAGTCACACGACTTGTCATCTTGTGGTTCAGATAGGCTGGAAATAATAAAGATAGACGAGGACAATAACGTGGGTATCTGCGTGAGAAACGAAGATAACCTAGTAACAGTGAGTATCATGTCAGAGTTCATGGTGGAGAGTAGACGGACTACCAAGAGGTCACGTGACGGAGCGGGCTCCCCACGTGACGTGACGTCATCAAACGTGACGTCATCAGACTGGTCGTATTCCCTCAATGTCAGTCAGATGGATATGTTCCTCTTCACAGAGCACAGCATTCTCGCTTCTCAGATCAGGCTCAGCAACGTGGCGTGCAGTCTCGCTCCTGACTGCGTGCATGCACGTGCAGCAGACAAATCACGTGATAGCGCGCATGCACGTGCAGTAGACAAATCAAGTGATAGCGCGACAGTTCCCACAACTGATAGTGAGGATACAGCCCACCAATCACTTACATTCCTCATAGATGATATCCAGATAGATAACTCCCTGCGTGATCAGACTTACGATTACTTAGTTGTGTTATTTACTGATAAAGCAGTACGTGTAGGCCCCATTGCCAGTCCTGAACCCTTCCTTAAAACTACTGTCACCTTCAATAACACCCACGCTAAAAACTCAGTCCACCAGTTCCTCTTCCACATGGGTAAAATACACGTGCACTTAGAGGACCTGTTCCTCTATCAGCTGGTAGATGTTTTCTCACAATACACTGCACGTGTAGCATCACGTGACCTGAACACAAGTCACGTGACCACCCCTGAACTGGAACAACACAGCAATACAGAGAGAGGTACAGCTCCCTCTCCCTCGCTAATGCCTGCCCTCGTGCTCTCCTTGATGTCAGAACTTTACGAGCCGCTAGCAGTGAACCTGTTCTCTATTTCAGACATCGATATCGGTAAGTTATTATTAATATTACAGGACAAGTGCCGACACGTGACTAGGTGGGTGACATGTATTTTATATATGTCAAAACACGGGAGATATCCCATTATAATAATATAGTGGTTTGTGGTGAAAGTGACATTTGATTTGGGACCAATAACAAATTATAAACTTTATCAGACTGGAGCATGCCAGTGCTGATAGCAAATTGCCATGACAACTTCTCATGTTGCCATGACAACTTGTCATGTTGTCATGACAACTGGATTTGTTGCCGAGATAACTTTTGATATTCCTTTCCTTTCAATAAGTCTGGGATTAGGTTAATATGATGAGGTAATATATAGTATTTTGACAAGTCTGTGATAAGTACCACACAAACTTAACAAGTGTATAGCTGTGATTCTCACACAAGGAATAAAATCCTTGTGATTCGGATCACCGATATTAAAACTTCAATAAATTAATCAACAAAACAGGGGGATTATAAAGGGCAGTGAAAGCAGTATTAATGACATTCTGACTTTTCATAACTAAGTGCCTAATATAATAAAGATATATCATCCAAACAGTTTTATTCCTGTTCCATATGATCGAGGATAGTCAGGGCTACAAAACCTGACCAAGTTTAGCTCAATCCAGTACTGCGCGTTCGAGATATGAGGTTAAATATACCAAAAATAGGGGTTTTCTGGTGTGACATTTTTGGAGTATAACCTTGATATCTCACAAACTATATTGTGGTCTTTCTGAGTTACACTATCTGTTTCCTCTGGCAATTTTGGTTCAGAATCGATTAAGTTTTAAACAAAATATCATTATATGTGAAAGGACTGAGGATATCGTGTTTGTAACACGCGCGCGCGCGCGCATAGAGATGACCTCATATCTTCCACATTTAATGATTTTTCATGGAAATTCTTTCACCATCCTGTAGCACTCATGTGCTGAGTAGGATAGCATTCAAATCATGTCTTTAAAAGCTTAGATAGATACTGAGGGAAAAAATTCATGCTTGTAACACGCGCGCGCGCATGGCCCAGACTATATCAATGGACGGGAGGATTAAAGTACTTTCATACACACCAGCATGCTCATTGATAGCTTAAAATGAAGCTAAGACATACTCCTATCAGATCCACCATAAGTTAGATACCATATTAATCATTAAATGTGTCTAAAATGAGGAAGCTTTGACAAGTGCGAGTGGTTTTGGCAAATTTTGGTATAAAATGGGCCCTGAGATCATATTTTTCTCATTAAAATCACATATATCACGAATATTTGGGTGTATCAACCATTTCAATCATCTAGAGCAGCTTTCCTGATTCTTTATCTCATGAAAATGGGCAAAAAAGCTCATAAATAGTCCAAAATCGGTCATTTTCGCCGCTTTAATAACCTCATTCCTGGCACCCAGAACCATGGTTGAGAACCCAATGTCACACTATTCGTTCATTAATCCTGCTTTCACTGAGGGGGATAGTAGTATTATTAGACTACCATCTCCACTGTATCTATTATAGTAGTAGTAGTCACTGTATCACTGATGAGGTTTATTTATGAAGTGCCGGTAAAATTGTTATTACGGCGCAGCCTTATTAAGCTGCTTGCTTTCTGAAGAACACAAATGATTCTGATAGGCTAGTACGTATAACGTGGTTTTTTTCTCACCAAAGGTATGTTTTACCGCAAATTTACTATGTGAAGACTGATTAGAAAATAATAGGAAAAAAGAAGATTTTTAGAAGATAATTTAGTTAAGTGTAATTAAAAGTGTAAAAAAGTGTAAAATACACTTTTTTACACATTTGAATACTGTGCTCTGATTGGTTAATGTTTCAGAACTAGGAGTACACGCTAGTGTGAAGCTGTTCCTGGCTGCGGATCAGATCCCTCTAAAGTTCAAACAGTTCCGCGTAAAGAAACTCTTCACTCTTACTGAGCACTTCTCTCAGGTAAATAGAAACTCTTCACTCTTACTGAGCACTTCTCCCAGGTAAATAGAAACTCTTCACTCTTACTGAGCACTTCTCTCAGGTAAATAGAAACTCTTCACTCTTACTGAGCACTTCTCTCAGGTAAATAGAAACTCTTCACTCTTACTGAGCACTTCTCTCAGGTAAATATTAGAAACTCTTCACTCTTACTGAGCACTTCTCTCAGGTAAATATAAACTCTTCACTCTTACTGAGCACTTCTCCCAGGTAAATAGAAACTCTTCACTCTTACTGAGCACTTCTCTCAGGTAAATAGAAACTCTTCACTCTTACTGAGCACTTCTCTCAGGTAAATAGAAACTCTTCACTCTTACTGAGCACTTCTCTCAGGTAAATAGAAACTCTTCACTCTTACTGAGCACTTCTCCCAGGTAAATAGAAACTCTTCACTCTTACTGAGCATTTCTCCCAGGTAAATAGAAACTCTTCACTCTTACTGAGCACTTCTCCCAGGTAAATAGAAACTTTTCACTCTTACTGAGCACTTCTCTCAGGTAAATATTAGAAACTCTTCACTCTTACTGAGCACTTCTCTCAGGTAAATAGAAACTCTTCACTCTTACTGAGCACTTCTCTCAGGTAAATAGAAACTCTTCACTCTTACTGAGCACTTCTCCCAGGTAAATAGAAACTCTTCACTCTTACTGAGCACTTCTCTCAGGTAAATAGAAACTCTTCACTCTTACTGAGCACTTCTCTCAGGTAAATAGAAACTCTTCACTCTTACTGAGCACTTCTCCCAGGTAAATAGAAACTCTTCACTCTTACTGAGCACTTCTCCCAGGTAAATAGAAACTCTTCACTCTTACTGAGCACTTCTCCCAGGTAAATAGAAACTTTTCACTCTTACTGAGCACTTCTCTCAGGTAAATATTAGAAACTCTTCACTCTTACTGAGCACTTCTCTCAGGTAAATAGAAACTCTTCACTCTTACTGAGCACTTCTCTCAGGTAAATAGAAACTCTTCACTCTTACTGAGCACTTCTCCCAGGTAAATAGAAACTCTTCACTCTTACTGAGCACTTCTCCCAGGTAAATAGAAACTCTTCACTCTTACTGAGCACTTCTCCCAGGTAAATAGAAACTTTTCACTCTTACTGAGCACTTCTCTCAGGTAAATAGAAACTCTTCACTCTTACTGAGCACTTCTCTCAGGTAAATAGAAACTCTTCACTCTTACTGAGCACTTCTCTCAGGTAAATAGAAACTCTTCACTCTTACTGAGCACTTCTCTCAGGTAAATATTAGGAGTAACTTATAACAATTAATTTGTATCTTTTATTCTTAATTTTATTCCTAACTTGTTCACATACTTCTGACTGTTCTTATCTTACGAAAGAGTCAAATAAACAAATAAACAGATCTATCAAACAGTACTTCATTCTACAATAATTGGTCCCACAGCACAGGAATAGTTGCAAGTTTTGCAGGTTCTTCAGGTTCTAACGACATGATCTCACCAAAGCTATCATCAATAGGTCGGGGCAAGAGAATATTATATTAATAATTAAGATAATAACCCAGCTGAATAGTAGTAGTAATATCAACGTTGCTACTGTTCTTTATAGCATAATGATAGTTTTGTTATTTAAGAGTTGTGTGGTTAACTCTCCTTAATCTTACTATTCTAAACAAACTCTCTGACAATACCCCAACACTGAACTGATTACTATTACTGCTGAAATGTACTGTGCGTAGACCAAGTTATTACACGAACACTACAACAACTGTAGGTTCCTAATTACTACAATAGTGAGCTAGTGGTACTAGTACTGTATTAGCACTGTGGATTAGGAGAATATTAGATTTAGTCCTCCAATTAGAAGCTGTGGATTGCTGCAACCCTCCAACGAGGAACAAGAGAAATAACACGTGATCAGCTCCAGAGCTACTTAAGTTCACTCTAGTAGAGAACTAATACATGACATAACCGGGTATTGCGAGGTTACCCTATAAAAACTAAATATAATGAGGTTACCAGTTGCGAGGTTACCCTATAAAAACTAAATATAATGAGGTTACCAGTTGCGAGGTTACCCTATAGAAACTAAATATAATGAGGTTACCAGTTGCGAGGTTACCCTATAGAAACTAAATATAATGAGGTTACCAGTTGCGAGGTTACCCTATAGAAACTAAATATAATGAGGTTACCAGTTGCGAGGTTACCCTATAGAAACTAAATATAATGAGGTTACCAGTTGCGAGGTTACCCTATAGAAACTAAATATAATGAGGTTACCAGTTGCGAGGTTACCCTATAAAAACTAAATATAATGAGGTTACCAGTTGCGAGGTTACCCTATAGAAACTAAATATAATGAGGTTACCAGTTGCGAGGTTACCCTATAGAAACTAAATATAATGAGGTTACCAGTTGCGAGGTTACCCTATAAAAACTAAATATAATGAGGTTACCAGTTGCGAGGTTACCCTATAAAAACTAAATATAATGAGGTTACCAGTTGCGAGGTTACCCTATAGAAACTAAATATAATGAGGTTACCAGTTGCGAGGTTACCCTATAGAAACTAAATATAATGAGGTTACCAGTTGCGAGGTTACCCTATAGAAACTAAATATAATGAGGTTACCAGTTGCGAGGTTACCCTATAAAAACTAAATATAATGAGGTTACCAGTTGCGAGGTTACCCTATAAAAACTAAATATAATGAGGTTACCAGTTGCGAGGTTACCCTATAGAAACTAAATATAATGAGGTTACCAGTTGCGAGGTTACCCTATAAAAACTAAATATAATGAGGTTACCAGTTGCGAGGTTACCCTATAAAAACTAAATATAATGAGGTTACCAGTTGCGAGGTTACCCTATAAAAACTAAATATAATGAGGTTACCAGTTGCGAGGTTACCCTATAAAAACTAAATATAATGAGGTTACCAGTTGCGAGGTTACCCTATAAAAACTAAATATAATGAGGTTACCAGTTGCGAGGTTACCCTATAAAAACTAAATATAATGAGGTTACCAGTTGCGAGGTTACCCTATAAAAACTAAATATAATGAGGTTACCAGTTGCGAGGTTACCCTATAAAAACTAAATATAATGAGGTTACCAGTTGCGAGGTTACCCTATAAAAACTAAATATAATGAGGTTACCAGTTGCGAGGTTACCCTATAAAAACTAAATATAATGAGGTTACCAGTTGCGAGGTTACCCTATAGAAACTAAATATAATGAGGTTACCAGTTGCGAGGTTACCCTATAGAAACTAAATATAATGAGGTTACCAGTTGCGAGGTTACCCTATAAAAACTAAATATAATGAGGTTACCAGTTGCGAGGTTACCCTGTATAAACTAAATATAATGAGGTTACCAGTTGCGAGGTTACCCTGTAAAAACTAAATATAATGAGGTTACCAGTTGCGAGGTTACCCTATAGAAACTAAATATAATGAGGTTACCAGTTGCGAGGTTACCCTATAGAAACTAAATATAATGAGGTTACCAGTTGCGAGGTTACCCTATAAAAACTAAATAAAATGAGGTTACCAGTTGCGAGGTTACCCTATAAAAACTAAATATAATGAGGTTACCAGTTGCGAGGTTACCCTATAAAAACTAAATATAATGAGGTTACCAGTTGCGAGGTTACCCTATAAAAACTAAATATAATGAGGTTACCAGTTGCGAGGTTACCCTATAAAAACTAAATATAATGAGGTTACCAGTTGCGAGGTTACCCTATAAAAACTAAATATAATGAGGTTACCAGTTGCGAGGTTACCCTATAAAAACTAATATAATGAGGTTACCAGTTGCGAGGTTACCCTATAAAAACTAAATATAATGAGGTTACCAGTTGCGAGGTTACCCTATAAAAACTAAATATAATGAGGTTACCAGTTGCGAGGTTACCCTATAAAAACTAAATATAATGAGGTTACCAGTTGCGAGGTTACCCTATAAAAACTAAATATAATGAGGTTACCAGTTGCGAGGTTACCCTATAAAAACTAAATATAATGAGGTTACCAGTTGCGAGGTTACCCTATAAAAACTAAATATAATGAAGTTACCAGTTGCGAGGTTACCCTATAAAAACTAAATATAATGAGGTTACCAGTTGCGAGGTTACCCTATAAAAACTAAATATAATGAGGTTACCAGTTGCGAGGTTACCCTATAAAAACTAAATATAATGAGGTTACCAGTTGCGAGGTTACCCTATAGAAACTAAATATAATGAGGTTACCAGTTGCGAGGTTACCCTATAGAAACTAAATATAATGAGGTTACCAGTTGCGAGGTTACCCTATAAAAACTAAATATAATGAGGTTACCAGTTGCGAGGTTACCCTGTATAAACTAAATATAATGAGGTTACCAGTTGCGAGGTTACCCTGTAAAAACTAAATATAATGAGGTTACCAGTTGCGAGGTTACCCTATAGAAACTAAATATAATGAGGTTACCAGTTGCGAGGTTACCCTATAGAAACTAAATATAATGAGGTTACCAGTTGCGAGGTTACCCTATAAAAACTAAATAAAATGAGGTTACCAGTTGCGAGGTTACCCTATAAAAACTAATATAATGAGGTTACCAGTTGCGAGGTTACCCTATAAAAACTAAATATAATGAGGTTACCAGTTGCGAGGTTACCCTATAAAAACTAAATATAATGAGGTTACCAGTTGCGAGGTTACCCTATAAAAACTAAATATAATGAGGTTACCAGTTGCGAGGTTACCCTATAAAAACTAAATATAATGAGGTTACCAGTTGCGAGGTTACCCTATAAAAACTAAATATAATGAGGTTACCAGTTGCGAGGTTACCCTATAAAAACTAAATATAATGAGGTTACCAGTTGCGAGGTTACCCTATAAAAACTAAATATAATGAGGTTACCAGTTGCGAGGTTACCCTATAAAAACTAAATATAATGAGGTTACCAGTTGCGAGGTTACCCTATAAAAACTAAATAT